CGCCGCTTTCATGGCTAAATTTGTTAAATGCATGTCCCATAACATTAACGTATTCACGTGGAAGGTTGATGATAGCCTGGAATAGATCTCGGAGTTGTGGTTCATAGACTCAATGTTAGACCAGGGACTAAACCAATTAAACAAATGAAGATGCAATTTATGCCAGATCGTAGAGAGGTCATACGTGAAGAGATCAATAAACTTGTCAACGATAGGTTCATTCGGGAGGTTCAGTACCCCAATTGGCTCGCCTACATTGTTCTCTTCAAGAAGGCTAACGGCAAGTGGAGTGTATGTGTTGACTTTACAAATCTTAACAAGGCATGTCCCAATGACAGTTATCCCCTATTTCGGATTGACAACCTTGTACACAGTACATCAGGGCCACAAATTGTACAATTTTCTTGATGTATTCTCAGGCTATCATTAGATGCGCAAGTTGATGAGGATCAAGAGAAGACGTCATTCATTGCTGATTTTGCCATATATTGCTATAAAGCCATGCCATTTGGTTTATAAAAGGCAGGGGCAACATCAAAGGCTCATTAACAAAGTCTTTGCGGATTTAATTGGGGGAAAATATCGATGCCTATGTTGACAAAATGGTAGTCAAGAGTAAACATGTGGATGAACATATCGCTGACCTTGAGGAGGTATTCACTACAATTCGAAGGTATAGGATGAAATTAAACCCGAGAAAGTGTGCTTTTGGGGTTGCCTCGGGTAAATTCTTAGGCTTCATAATCACACATGGGGAAATCGAAGCCAATCCAGACAAGATACAAGCCTTCATAGCCATGAAATCACCTAGGAGCAAGAAAGAGGTACAAAAGCTAACAGGTCTGGTCGTCGCATTGAATAAGTTCATGCCTCGAGCAGCAGATGGATATTTTCCTTTTTTCAAAGTTCTTAGGGATAATCAAAGCTTTGATTGGAATGAAGAATGTGAAAGAGATTTCCAAGAGTTCAAACAAACATTGGCAACTCCACCAATTCTTACAAAACCCGAGCCTGAAGAAATATTGTTTTTATACTTAGTCGTTTCTCAAAATGCAGTAAGTGGCATATTGGCGTAGGAAGCTAAAAAGGCTCAACAACCCATCTATTATGTAAGCAAGTTATTACTTGATGAGGATACCAGGTACACATTGGCTAAACAACTTGCCCTTGCCCTGGTCGTAGCAGCACAAAAGTTACGATAAATATTTTCAATCATATCCAATTGTGGGGCTCACAGACCAGCCACTCAAACAAATACTCTAGAAGCTCGATGTCTTAGGAAGATTGCTAAAATGGGCAACTGAACTTGGTGAATTCGATATAGAGTTCAAGCCCCGGTCTTCTATTAAAGCACAAGTCTTAGCTGACATTTTCGCAGAGTTCACCACAAAGCCTCGGGGCCATAGGATAATTCGACCACTGAGGTTAACACCTGGGAAATATTTGTTGATACGACATTTAATACTTCAGGCTCAAGTACAGGAATCATAATCAACAACCCAGACAAGCAACAGAAATTCAGTGTGCACTTAGATTTAAATTCGAAGCCACCAACAATGAGGCGAAATATAAGGCCATCGTCATTGCTTTAGAGCTTGCCAATAGCCTTGAAATTGAATACGTCAAGCTTTTCAGCTATTCACAACTATTGTTGGACAGATTGAAGGAACATTCGAAAAAAAAGATGAAAAGATGAGCTTGTACTGTTTGAAAGTTCATGATCTTCAGAGACGATTCAAAAATCGCCCGAACTGATAACCATAAGGGATACGCATTATGAAGACTTGTTTTCATGGGGGTGGATGGACTTGACAAGACAGTCCAAGTCCACGTCAGGATGGTAAAGAGCCAAACATTGGTCAGAAATCCAGTGTCATAGATATTGATAATGAGCCCATAGATGGACCTCATAGTCGATTTCATAACTAATGAGAATCTTCCTGATGATCCAAGAGCAGCTAGGAGCGTTCAATCTAGAGCAACAAGATACTCATCATCAGAGGAGTCATCTTTCGTAGAAGTTTCACGCTTCTATATCTCATATGTCTTAGGCCTTCAGAATCAGCATAGGCCCTATCAGAAGTTCATGAGGGAATATGTGGTAATCAACAGGGTGCACAGCCTTGGCTTTCAAACTTATCAGGTACGGGTACTATTGGCCAACCATGAAGAAAGACGCCACGAATTATGTCAAGTAATGTGATAAGTGCCAGAGGTTCGGTAACGTCATCCATTCTCGCGCTGATAGGAATGTAAAATGTATATTTTTCTCTCCTTATTTTATGTGCTCGTATGATTATTTTGTGCCAAAATGTACTTATTAAGATCATATTTTGATTTAGGTAAAAATTCTATGGATATGGTGTAATTTGGAAGAAATAAGCGAACAAGGGCCAAAAGAAAAGAAAACGAAGTTTGGAGACTGAAATGTAAACACTCAAAAGTTATGTGGAACCTCATGATGAAGATTTGAGTGTGTTAGGAGTCAATTTAATAAAAGAAGATATCAAATAGATGAAATATCGTCAAAGTATGATCACAAATCAATGTCCAATTGAAAAAGTCATGCTCCAATTTTCAGCCTCATATTGAGACCCATTTTTGACATGGCAAACAATCAAATTGGAAGATGATACCTGAAGAAGAGTTGTAGCCATTTGAGTTATCTTTCCAACACATCTTGAATCCCCTCAATCAGATAGTAGGAGAGAAAGATATCCGATGGAAATTATTTAATGTCATGCGATCGCAAATGGTGTTTCAGCGAATTTCAGAGTCCATTTTCAATGTTCTACGTGGCCGCATAACTTACTATCATGCGGCTACATAGTTCATTCCCGACACGAAAATTTTGATTTCCGAATTTAAGTCAACTACCTATGGAAACAACTATAAATAAATATTTTAAAACCCTAGAATGGGAGAAGAACGTACAGAGCGCCTCAAAACTTCATTCTTCATTATTTTGCTTATAGATTCATGAATTGTAACTAATCTTTTACACTTGGTCGAAGGAGATTGAAGCCTCAGAACCATATATTGTGAGATCTAAATAGTTTTCTTATTGTTTGATTTATATTTTGCGTATTGAATGTTCTTCTGCATTTATTTCTATTATTTGCTGCTTTTAATTTCTAGAGGGCCCGCTAGTTTATTGATTGTAACAACNGTCGCTTTGGTGATTGTTAAATTTTAGGAAGAGTATTTAAATAGATTGAATGCAACCGATGGTGTTTGTGTTATCTAGTTCATCAATTTATCTATTATGTAAAGATGTTATTAAATTGAATCTCGAGCGTTGGTCTAGAGTTATTTAGTAATTAGGGTTAGTTAGAACGCTGGTTTCTAACTAACTAAAATTAAGGAGAAATATGAATTCATTCCAACGATGAATGCTCGACTAACAAACCTATGAAAAAGGGTGCAAGGGCTACTTAAACCCGGATTTTAGAGTATCCCTAAAAATAACAAACTCTCATTCCCGAGCTTGCACCATTCTATCCTCGTGGTCAGGTGACCAAATGTCGCAATTACTCATTAACCCGAACTCTCTAGCAACTACCATAGCTAGGTGTTCCTTAAACCTACAGTGATCGTCGGGGAATTTAAACTTGACGTTGCTTTGGTACCTAGGTTGGGCTTCAAGAGGGACCACCATTGGAATAATTGTCGTTCCTACATCTTCGCTATTACTCGAACTACCAGAACCTCGATTATCCTCACTGCTCGACATCTCTCTTAATGAAAACTAAGAAAATAACTTAAGGTCTCGAGTTTTAGAGCTCAATCTTGCAGAGGAAAATTTACATCAAGTGAAAAGTGAAAAATAAATGGTAAATGGGGTGTATATAGGTGTGGAATGGGAGACCAAAGGTCACAATCTAGACCATTAGATTTTGACACGTGTCGCATATCCAAGGCACCTCAATAACCGCCTTACCCATTCAACGTTCATTTTGAGTTAGGTTATCGAGCAATCCCATAGACCAAGATACCATACCCGACCTATGTGCATCCACCCCCTAATGCTTAAGCTCTAAGAATGGATGCACGGAGGCTAATAATATTGTCATAATTGTTCATCTCGAGCTCTAAAGTTCTAAGGACGGATATTCACTAACGTAGACCCCTCATCCTCGGGCTTGATGTAGTCCTCGAGGTATGTCGAGGACTAGCATTATAGTTCCTACATTATTTTGGTGACGATGTCCTCAATGTGAGTCATCGAGATATTTTGACCAAGGTACGTTGTGTCCTCGACGCTTTCTTTTGCCAAACTTAAAGACCTTCTTGCTTAGACATAGATTGATCCCACTTTCCAAGGATTCCAAACCTGTCCAAACATTTCAATTCAAGACTCCCATGTCTAAAAGAAGTTTATCTCCGTAAATATTACAGTTGAATTATGACTAGACTTGCAGTTGTAATCCATACTCATCTAAAATAAGATTTCTAAGGAAAAAGATGCATAGCTAACTAAGTCCTACCATGAATGAACTACTTACCTCTATAAATACAAAACTTCCATTCATTATTCAGGCACGTTTTTACATAATTTTTTAATCTGTAGCTTCAAGAATAAATTCTCTCAGATTTAAGAATCGGAGGGGTGATGAGGAAAATCAGAAGATTTTGTTCGTATTCATTCTCAATTGTCAAGCTCGAAAATCAATAGGTATGATTTTTGGTAGCATCAACACGTAAATTCAAGTTTTTTTTTTTAACCACCCATTATTAAAACAAATTACTATTCCTCTAGTTTATAACGTGAAGTGGCCAAAGGGGGAAATATTGACTAACCTGTGAGCTTGGCTTCCCTATTTAACTCTCTTTGTTCAAGTATTTCAGAAAGGGTTCAAGGACAAACCCTGGCCTTAAACCTGGCCTTAAACCCTCGCGTCTCTTTCCCGCCGTAACTTCTCCTTCGACGTCATTGTTCTCTTCATATATTAGCTTATCGCTTCCATCTTCTCCATATCTGTAACGAACGAGATTCAGATATGGCTCAATCAACCGAGGTATACTTTCTCTTTCTGTGCTCATAAACTAAAATACGCGTGTAATTCCTGTATTTATTCGTTAATGTATAAAAAAATTATGTGCGTGGCTATGGTTTTGCGGTTGTTTATCGATATTGGGGCTAATTTGTTATTTAGGGTGCGACGGAAGCTGTGGAGGCGGTGAAATTTGGTTTCATGACGGATGAAGAGGTCAGGAGCCACAGTGTTGTGAAGGTAAAAAACCCTAATTTGCTTGACACTCTGGACAAGCCAATCCCTGGCGGGCTCTATGATCCGGCTATGGGTCCCCTGGACGAGAACTTTGCGTAAGTATATGATATCTGAATACTGGTTGCGAATTGTTTTATGTGATGTTTAAATGACATGTCCTAACCTCTAATCGGGCAGATGTAAAACATGTGGGCAGCGGTCATATCACTGTCCTGGTCATTGTGGACACATTGATCTCGTTTCACCAGTCTATAATCCGTTGTTATTCAATATGCTGCACAATCTGTTAAACAAAACCTGTTTCCACTGTTTACATTTTCGATCAAGCAGAGGAGAGGTAAATCATTGTAAAGATGCATTTTTTAGTTCATTGTCACATTTTATTTTGCTGCCTCTTGACTTCATTGCATTTGCTGCGAATTTTTTGTTTGATCTAGGTGGAGAATTGTGTTACTCAATTAGAACAGATATCTGAGGGTGACATTATTGGGGCTAAAAGGTTGAATATTCTCCAGAAGGTGAAAGAGAAGAAGAAAAAGGATTGGGTCTTATCGAATGATCTAGTTGATCCTGATGATAGTGAAGGAAGTCATATATCAGACGCTGAACTACACTCTGATCGACGAAAACACTCTGACCATAATAAGCGAGGATCCTGGGACTCTAGTCAGTTTACGGAAGCTTTGTATGTTCTGAATGAATTTCTCAAGAAGAAAGAAAAGAAGTGCAAGAATTGTGATAGCGAGAATCCGAAGATAAATAAACCAACCTTTGGATGGTTTCATATGGTATGCCTCTTCTGATTGAAAGGATATGATATTATTTTATATTGGCTAGATGCTCAAGTCGACCTAAATATTTTTTAAAATTTTGATAGCTGTCGGATTATGTTGTACCTTAATTATGATAGTTGATGTTACACGTCGGTTTTCTTTATTATCTGATAGAAGTATCTGAACTGATCCCCTTTCATATAGTTTTATGATGAGGTTCTGTAATGAAATGAAAAGCCTATGATGCTTCAGTGAGTTAGAGTTGGAACTTTTTTGCATGGTGATCTTATTAATACGAGTCTCTTATGAATAAAGTAAATTCTGACACGAACAAACCCTAAAATCATAGGCACGATAGATATCAATTGGACTTATCTAAATGATTTAAGTCCATTTTTTTGTTGTCATGAAAGGTGGAAGGGGATATACTTTGGCAAGTGTAAACAACACTTTGGTGTTAAAAGAGAGCAAGAAAGTAAAAGTGGAGGGATATGTATAATAATTATAAAAGAGGGATATGCATTTAAGGGTGTGTTCGGTAGAGATTAAAATTGGATTAAAATTGAAAAACTAGCCGTTAACTTTTATTAGATGAATGAGACCCAATAACGGTCATATTTTCAATTTTAATTGGATTTTAATCGGAAACAAACATGCTCTAAATATAAAGCAGGTTTCCATCTCTCCCTCCTCTCCTTTTCCCATTTCATTTCTCATACTAAGTATGATGGGGACAAAAAAGTAACATTTCTCTGGGTCCTATAGTGTCTCCCTCTCCCTCGCCCTTCCTCTCAAAGAACCATATGGCCACATAAATAACCTTGGGCAGTTAAGAGGTCCCTTCTTCCCTACTATAGCATAATTAAAAGTTGAAATGATATTTTTTTTCCAGGGAATGTTATTGTAGTCAGTTTTCAATTATGTATGGAATACTATGCTGCTTGATTCATTTAATCGTTAACGGTTAAATAAATTGATTTATCACAACGGAACACTAAGGGGGTGTATTCATTTTAGATTTTTAAAGACTTTTAGAGATTTCAAATAAAAAGTACAGGTGTATTTAATCAAGAAATTTTAAGACTTCATAAAAGTCTTGAGGTATTGAATATAGAAATATATGCTTTTATAGACTTTTTAAAAGTCCTTAAAAGTCATGGGTATTAAACCCCTGTTTGACACCCATTTTATTTCTATTTTTTTATTTCAACCACACATTCTATCAATAAAATAATATTACACATAAACCCAAAAATTCTCCTTACTTTTTAACCACACATTCTTTCATCAAGAATTTATTCTTCCCCAAAATGGATGTCAAACACAATGTAAATAAAAAAAGTTGGTATTCAAAATGTCAATGACTTTAGTAAAATCCTTCACGTACTAACTTGTAAGTAGAAAGTTTAAATATAAAATCCAGTGTTCTAAAAAGTTCACCTAAGTGGTGTTTAGGCTCCGTCTAAGCTTGAAGTTAGGGCAAAGTGCATCGCTTTGCGCTTAGACGCTTTCTTGTTTTTCAATTCCTAAACGGTTGAATTTTTTCCTTCCTCTCTTTCGTCTTCCCTAGGCGCGCTTTATTATTATTTTTTTTTCCTTTTTTATAAAGTCTTTTATTTGACTTTAGCTTATTAATTTTTTTATTTTTAAAAAAACTTTTCGTTTGACTTTAATTTCAAGTTTTTTAAAAAAATTATTTGTACAAAAAAATGACTTTATTTAAATAGTTAATTAAATAGGATTTAAGTTATACTGCTATTTATATTATATAATTATGACATTGAGACTCATTATTTTGTTGCAGATTCCAAAAGCATGTATGAAATTCTTATAGATCTATTAAGTATAGGACTTGTCTAGTTGAAAATTGAAACTATGAAAAATACTCTAATTTTTGCATTTCGAAAACTTGAAAATTGTATAATTGACTAATGATATAAATTATTAAGTAAATATAGTATTTTATAATTTTAGATGTTTGATATGCATCATTTTAATTATTAAATGATTTTTAAAATGATAAAAAATTTACAATAATATTAAAAATAAGGAAACGCTTTTTTACGGATATGCCTTACCTAGGCTCGCTTAAGCTTATAAAGTCTGAAACTTCGCTTCCACGCTTATCTACGATTTAAGCTTTTTAAAATGCCTATAAAATCTCATAAAAAGTCTCTCATCACCCCCAAGATTTTGAAAGACCAAGTAAAAATGTCTTTCAATATATAATATTTCTTTTTACTTCATCATTCTACGAACCTTAGAGCCATGATATAAAAAGTCATTATTTTTCTCTCTTCAACCCATTGTTATCATCATTCTCTTTTTTTTATTCTCATTTCTTTTATTCTCTCTTCTTTTTCATCATTTTCTTTTTTTATTCTTTTTTCAAATAAAGACATTGGTGGCTTGTTTAATTGAATTACTTTCTTCAGGTTTGAACATAATAATATTGAACATTAGAATTTTAGGGACCGTTATCTTTGTGTTTTAGTTTTGTGTGTTGGGTTTTGAATTCATTTTGGGTTTTGTGTTTTGAGTGTTCATTTTGAAATTGTTGAAAATGTATTCTTTTTGGTATTTTGAAAACACCCAAAATGCGTTTTGAAAATTTTGACTTGATTATAACTTAAAACACCCAAAACGATAAATTAATCGTTTTGAGTTTTCTTTGTAAATTTTTAACTTGTTTTTCCGAAAATAGGAAAGAAAACGCGTTTTCACTGTTTTGAAAAATCGAAAACGGAAAACGGCTTGAAAATGGTAAAGAAAACAGACCCTTAGTTTTCCTCCATCAAAGAAATTAAAATGTTATTTTTTTTTTTTTGTATTTAGTTGTTTATTTTCTAATTTAGATGACTTATATTTTTGTATTCTTCTAAAAAATATTTGACATGAGAAATATAATTTTTTTATTGTGGGTTGTGGATCATTTGTTCATGCAATCGGTTAAGAAGGATGTGCAATAAGTTACATAGGAGATTTTTTCAGGTCTATAAAAGTCTATAAAGACTTTCATTGATTCTCTAAAAGTGTATAAAAGTCGATAAAAGTTCATTGAACTCTACAAAAGTCATTTACCTAAAAAGTCTGTAAGTCTTTGAAAATTCAAATTGATTAAAATCCCCCCAACAACCCCCCCCCCCCAAGAATCTACTGTTACTTTCACTGTTGATAAGGAAGCAATAACAATGGGATGATGATAGCATCCCTTTTTCTTTATATTTTCTCTCTTTTGGAGTCCTCACTGACTGCATTATCACCTCAAGTTGCTGGTGAACAATTTTAGGTTTCATTCATGGAGCTCTGGTACAGCTGACTTTAACCTCCTATAGCACTATAAATTATTAGCATTGGAGATGGGTATAAAAGAGCCTGTCATTGTGGTTGTCTCATCTTCTTTCTTCAGAGTTTCACCTGTATCATGCTGTTATTTTGCATTTGTCGATTATGCAGTTTGTTCAATGTATTTTATTAGCAAGCAACAATTTCTCTTACAAATAAATTAATAGTCATTCGGGAGTAATTGTGGGATTAATGTTTTTCCATCCCGGTAATTCTTCATAAGCATTTACATTTAGTTATGCATCAGATCTCTAACAAATTAATTTATGCAACTTCTGTGGTTTTTCCACAATGTAAAAATTCTCTTGAAGTTCATATAGTTCCTTACCCGCCATTTACATTATTTTCTAGAGAGGACTATCTGGCAATCAGACTCGGTCAAATGCCATTCGACATGGCAGGTTGGGTGTGTCAAAGACTGAAGGAGTTGGGGATAAGTCTTCCTCGGAGGTTGTAAATGCTAGTGATTGTTCACGGAAGGATGATTCTGACACTGCTGTAGCCAATTCATCTGTAGCTGCCTCTGGTAGCACTGAAATATCGAAGAAAAAACCCATTCATCTAGCAAGAAACTTCATTCAGGAATTAGAAAAGCGTTCTTTTTCTGGACCTCTCTTACCGTCAGAGGTGGCTGACTACATCAATTTTGAACTTTTTTATTTATTTTTATTCTCAATTCAATCATATGATTTTGTTCTTTGTGATGTTTGTTTAACTTTAAGTCTTTATTTCTCTTATTTGGCAGGTTAGAGATATTGTTAGGCGCTTGTGGGAGAATGAATCTCCTATCTGCTCATATATTTGTGATATTCAGCAGCAGCAGCAACATGATGAATCTGGCAGAGTAACTGGCCACTCTATGTTTTTCCTCGAGAGTATTCTTGTACCCCCAATCAAATTCCGACCTCCAGCCAAAGGCGGAGATTCTGTGAGTCCTGAAAACATCGTGTGATCTGTGTTTTAATAACTTGCATCCATGCTATTTTTTTCGTGTTATTATTGAATTATAGTATACAAGATATTCTTTTTTTAAGAGCAATGTTTGTAAAACAGATACTTGGACTTTCTCTCATGTTTAATAGTCTCATGAACCACAGCACAATATGGGGGAAGACATAAACGCTTAGAGCTTGTTTGGTAGGGATTTTTTGGGGGAAGAATTGATTTTGAATAGTGATATGATGGGAAATGTGTGGTTGAAAAAGAAGAAAAAATTATTGATGTGATGGAAAATATTATTTTATTGAAGAATGTGT